AGCACTGTAACTGCAGAACACTGTCCTTAGTTTTGCAGATACAGCAAGCGAGTGGAATATTCCTACAAGTAAGCAAGAGACTGCATTTGCAAAGCGGATTCTTTAGGAAGATAAATACATCAGCATCGTGAAGTAAAAAGGCAGCTACTCAACATGGTCTTCAGTTACATTGTGAAAAGCTCTGTTCCATCTGACCACTCAATCCAAACTGTGTATACCAAGCCAAACTGAACACACCCACATATGTCCACCACAACCGTACACTGGACATATATGTGCATAAGTACATGAACCAACATGTGTAGGCAACTCTAAAAATGAATAAAAAAGGAAAGTTATAAAGCTTTAAAATCTGTTCTTAAAAAAGTTCTTCCATGTCAAATTACAAAATACTCCAACATTTACGTGGACTCGCATTTCATATAAATTATGAAAAGCCTGAATTCGTCCATAACAGCTTTGAGTCTTCAGAGTTGACCTTTAGTGACAAAGATTATGGCTTTCACATTCAAGAAACTTCTCTGCACTTATATAGAACCATAGAATGGTCAGAGTTGGAAGGGACATTAAAGATCATCTAGTTCCAAACCCCCTGCCCTGGGCAGAGACACCTCCCACCAGACCAAGCTGCTCAAAGCCCCATCCAGCCTGGCCTTGAACCCCTCCAGGGATGGGGCAGCCACAGCTTCTCTGGGCAACCTCTTCCAGTGTCTCACCACCCTCACAGTAAAGAATTTCTTCCTGAGATCTAATCTAAATCTCCCCTCTTCCAGTTTAAAACCATTACCCCTCATCCTGTCGCTCCATTCCTTGATAAAAAGTCCTTCCCCACCTCTCCTGTTGGCCCCCCTCAGGTAGAGGAACACCTATATAGGTTCTCAACTGAGTCTTCTCCAGACTGAACGATCCCAACTCTCTCAGCCTGTCTTCATAGGAGAAATGCTCCAGCCATCTGATCATTTCGTGGCCCTCCTCTGGACCCACTCCAACAGGTCCACGTCCTTCCTGTGCTGAGGACTCCAGAGCTGGACACAGAGCTCCAGGTGGGGTCTCACCAGAGCAGAGGGGCAGAATCACCTCCCTCAACCTGCTGGCCATGCTTCTTTTGATGCAGCCCAGGATGTGGTTGGCTTTCTGGGCTGCCAGCACGCATTACTGGCGCATGTTGAGCTTCTCATCATATGTCACATCTTCACAAGGCATAAAAATATTGCTTTTGCTAGCTATCTCCATACACACACATACAAACATGGTGTTACTTCCAAATAATGCAACATACTGATGTGTCCCCATGCAAGCATTATGATCTACTTTATGCAGCTATATTAACATTAATATATATAAAATATCAGAGTTGAGACTAGAACAGAAATAGGTTTCACCACACTAACCGTAAGATAGGTTCTAGGAACGAGGCCTCTCTCCCCTTTCGAGTTTTCGGCTACCCACCAGCCATCCACCTTCTTGTCATGTATGAGTAGGACTTCACCTTTCTTTGCCATTAGAAGGAGAGAGACAGAGACAAAAGACAACCAAATATTTCAAAATGGCTCCAGACACGATTTAAAAAAACCCAAACCCAACCACAAAAGCTTAGTTTTTCCCACAAAAGAGATCACGGACAACTGCAACCCACTGTGCCAGGAGAGAAGGTGGCAAGAGAATACTGGACTCCACCAAGTGAAATGTACATTTCTCCCATTTCTCCCTGAACCCTCTCAAGGAACCAGCTGAATCCCAGAAGCACAGGATTTAATTATAGTTATTGCTAAATACAGAATGATCTGCAGCCAAAAAACTTTATAGAGACATATTTACCATAAACGTGAGATCCCCTTCCTGCTGTGCATTAAAGTTTGCAACTGTAATACATTCTTTAACATTTGGATCATCCAACAATTTATCCTCCTCATCATCATCTGCTTCTTCGCTGTCTTCCTCCTCACTACTTTCTTCAGCTTCACTCTCATCCTTTTCTCCGTTTTCATCTTCTGTTTGAGGATCTTTCTGATGCTGCTCATCCCTACCCAAAATAAATCAAACTTTTAAAATTATTACTTTACCAAAGCTTCTTCAAATTGCTGTAAAGCTTTGCAATATGGCCTGCGCTGCAAGGACATTATCCGGATACAGAATTTTCATTCCTGTGTTTTACTCTTTGTCCTGATCTGAAAAAAGTCCAAAATCCCAATGGTGTTTCCTCCCTAAGCATACAGACCACATTGCATCCTCTCTTATTAACCAACACCCTCAGAAAATTCGAGTCGTTCATGACTGCATCAAGAAAACAAGCCTAAGCATACAGACCACATTGCATCCTCTCTCATTAACCAACACCCTCAGAAAATTCAAGTGAGTCGTTCATGACTCCATCAAGAAAACAAGACCCCTAAGGGCTGGCTCTTTAGTACTTCATTTTTAAATGTATGCTCACATAATAAAGGGGATGAGCTGACAATTTTTCAGGGTCCTTTCCAATCGCACTTGTACAATTCTATAAAAGCATGGATTGTATTTCTTTGCTTAAGCTACTTACGCTGCACGATTTATAGTCACATTATCCTGATCCAAGACAAGAAAAAGTTTCTGCAGCTGCTGAGAGAGTTTTAGCAATAGCTTTTCTTCTTCTTCTTTCCTCTGATTATAATTCCCCACAGGCGCAGGCTCATCAGCCTGAGAAAGAAGAACATGACAAATTGCTCAAAGAATCAAACAAAGTTAAAGTGCCTCTATAAAGTTAGTTTTCCACACATCTTATGAGCTTTCACATTCCTGGGCTGCTGTCACTCCATGTGTAGTGATACCCTTCTTGCCCATTTACTCTGCCACAATGAAATGTTGTGTTAAATTTCAAATCTGCATTCTCTGCTTCCAATACAATGCTGTGGGTTGATCAACATTTTATAATGTATTGGATTGGTAAAGATTTTAAGCGCAGAACTTGTACACAATAAAGCACTAAAAATATGCTTTGAAAGAATATAAATGGATCTCAGAGATCCCAGTCAGGGGAGGCACTGCTCTTGTCCTTATGCACACAAAATTGAAGGAGGCTGATGTTCTCTAAAAGTTCTCTGTGATGCATTTTGGAGAAAACCATTAACAAATTTGGCTTCACACTTACTTTTTTCAAATCATGAAGAGCATTTGTATTCTCATCTACCAATTTCTTCAGCTGCATACATCTGCATTGAGAGCAAGACAGATACATATAGCATTATCTTAAAATTCTGATAGATGGGTGACCCAAATCATGCATGCTTACTGAAACGTGCGAATTTAGATACTCAGACCTTCACCGGCTCTGTGTGCATGCAGCTTGACAAATACCAATACAAGCCCAATCAGCAGCTTAGCCAATTATTATCCGCGATGAGCAAGTTCCCACTTAAAACCACCTCAGCCCTTGACGACTGGGATGCCGCCAGCCTGTTGCTTCCGCCTGGGAAACAGACAGGTGAGAAGGGGCAAGGAAGAGATCGTTACAATTAGGAGAAAACCTGGAAGTTGCACAGGGAACCGTCTGCTCCTTCTCCTCCTCACCTCTGCGAAAGGGCCTTCCGCTTTTCGGGCGCCGGGGCCGCGCTCTCCGCCCGCAGCGCCTCCACCTGCAACACAGGACAGGCACCGTCAGCCGCCACCGGAGCCCCGGCGCCCCAGGCCGGGCCGAACCGGCCCTGTCCGCCCCCGGTACCTGGGCCTGCAGCTCCCGGCTCCGCCGCTGCACCCGCTGCAGCGGGCCTCGCGCCCGCCGCCCCGACATGGTCGCTAGGCAACGGCGGCGCCCCGAGATGCCGTCACTTCTGGGGCGCGCGGCACGCCGGGAGCTGTAGTTCGCCTGCCTGAGGGAGAAGGCGGGATCGCTGAGCCATGGCAGGGCACGGCCTGGATGTGCGCCGGGCTGCACCCTGCTGTGGGCTGAGGGTCAGAGCCTCACCCGGCCCTGACCCTCTGCCTAAGCAGGCCTGGCCTGGGGACCGACAGAGAGCCGGGCAGCCTGCAGGTAAATCCTGCTCCTGCCCTCCCCAGGGCACCCCGTAAGGCTGCAGTCACTTCCCAGCTCCCAGTGGAAAATGTTCGCAAGCACATGCTTCACGCCAATTGGTAGTTGCTCCCCTCTCACCGAGAAAATGGAAAATGTTCACAAGCACATGCTTCACGCTAACTAGTAATCGCTCCCCTCTCCCCCACAAAGTGGCAGATGGACAAGGCCACAGCACGGCATGGGTACAGACACCCCTGGTTCTAAACTGCCTGCGAATCTCAAGGTTAAAAACACCAAAAGGCACACCGTGAAAAGGTGAAGTAGGTACATCTTAGACTGCAACTGTGGGCTGAACCGCGTGCTTTTGTCAACAGCATCTGTGCTGAATGGAGGAGCTCGATGGCACACAGTACCACACACTCCAGCGTTGGCATTGAAGGAACTTCCAAAGGTCTGAGACCTTGTTTCTACCAAAAAGCCACAGGACTGCTTACAAATGAGACCTTGTTTCTACCAAAAAGCCACAGGACCGCTTACCTGGCTACAAAACAGCATTTTGTCATCTTAAGATATGGTGGGCAGTATATTTTTTTTCCCCAAGAAACTTGTGAAGCTTTTACAGTTCAGTAATATAGTTGAAAACCAGCAGCTTGCACAGTGTGCAGTAAATCATCCAGTGCCACACAGGAGCACCCCCTTCTCCCAGGCTCGAGGAAACGCTCTTCTGGAATTTGCTAGCGATGGGAGGGTAAGAGGGAACATGCTACAGCCATCTCCACAATTCCTCATCCAAAGCATTTTTTCCCCAAGAAACTTGTGAAGCTTTTACAGTTCAGTAATATGGTTGAAAACCAGCAGCTTGCACAGCGTGCAGTAAATAATCCAGTGCCACACAGGAGCACCCCTTCTCCCAGGCTCGAGGAAACGCTCTTCTGCAATTTGCTAGCGATGGGAGGGTAAGAGGGAACATGCTACAGCCATCTCCACAATTCCTCATCCAAAGCACAAGAAGAAATTCAGAATCCAAAGCGCAAGCATCCCTCATTTAATTTTGTCATTCATCCTACCGACACATGCAGCTATTGCACCGCTTAATTGTCCCCACCAGTCTTTTTCACGGGCACATTTTCCTAATGAGATTCGCCGCTCATTACAGGTGCCTGTAAGGCATGTTTTCGCTGATCGGAGAAATAAGCACATCTAGGAACACTGTGTCATGGTTTTTGCGAGTTTAATGTGTCAGCAGCGCTTCTTGGCCAGTGGGCCTCGGCAGCAAACTTCAAGCCAGACAAATACAGCCAAAACGAGGAAATTCATTTGGAATCGTTGTTCCTCGGCGTTTCCTCAGGTCGGTCTGATGCAGATCTTCTGAAGGACAGACGACATGCCCTCCCGTTCCACGGAAGCTGGCCGTGTCCGCCTGGTTTCCACCGGCGCGGGGTGGGGGTCAACCGGGTTCTGCTGCTGGAGGAGACACACGGATGGTCGCGGCCACCTCCCGAACCCGCCGGCGGGGCAGGGGAGGGGAGAGCGGCTCCCGCACCGGGGGAGACACCGGGGGGTCCCTACAGCTCAGGCCGCTTCCAGCTGCTCCCGGGCGGCGTCCAGGCGGCGCTGGAGACGGCGCTGGCGCCAGCGGAGGAAGCGGCGGCGGGCGCGGCCGGCCTGCCAGCCCACCAGCACCCCGGCGGCGAAGGCGGCCAGCAGCGCCCAGCGCACCACCCTGGGCCGCAGCGACTCCAGAGCCATTCCCCGCCGCTCCGGCTCCAATGGGCACCGGCACCGCCTCCCGCTTCCGCCGGGGCGGGGGCCGGACGCCGTAAAGGCGGCGGGGCCGGACTGGGGCAGGCGCAGCGTCCCCGTCCGTCCCCCTCTCCCAGCCATGGCGGAGGCGGCCTCGCAGGTAGCGGAGGGGCTCTCTCCAGCCAAGAGGGAGGCGGGCATCCCGAGTTGCGGCACCCGCTTCTCTCTAGCCGTGCCCCGTGGTGAAAAGGCACCTTTTTTTTTTTAATATCTGCTTGGAGTTTGTTTCCAGCTTCCTCCCCTGCTGATGTGCTCTCTGTGTTTCCCCCCCTCCTTTTCTACAGGATCTCCTGCTGGCAGCAGCGTTTGTCTCCGATGCGCAGTACAACAGAAATATTCCTTTTAAGACCTCCCCGGAGGCAGTCAGGTAAGGAGGTCTGTGCTCCCATCCTTGCCCAGGAGCGGGGCTCTGTGCTGGTCCCACAGGCAGTGTGAGGATGCTGTGGGACACTGAAGCTGAGGTGGGGAGAACCAACTACAGCTGTGTCCAAAGAACAGTTGCCAGCAAAGGCTGGGGAACCTCAGGTTTACCCGCTGAGGGCCGAGAAGGTTGGGTGCAGGTGTGAGATGCAGAGAACCGTATTTAGGCTGAAACGCTTATGTTGAATAGGGCTTAGTGCATCTGTACGTTGAGGATGAGAAAAGAAATCAAAACTTTGCTTTTTGCTGGAGGAAAAAATTAAATCTTTCAAGGCTGAAGCTGCAGCGCTCTGTGGGGATGAAGGGTTTGGGAAGCTGGGTCAGCCATCAGCTGTGTGGCCAGGGGTGCTGGAGTGTGGCTGTCCTGTGTGAGCAGTAGGATTTTAGTAGCAGGGGGCTGCACGGTTGGTCTGTGGGGGAGAACAGCCCTGAGCCAGGGGGCTTGGCAGCGGATGGTAACAACCCACCACACACCAAAACTTCAGGTCATCAAATGAGCCTGTGGCACCTCTGCTCAGGTGTACTTCAGAAAGGGCAGTAGGTGTTAGGGGTGGGAGTAATTAAAAGCGTATGTTAATTGGCAATAAGATAAGTGATATTTCCCAAGTCAGGAGTGTTTGCCTGCAAAGGTGATTATCTTCCCTTTTAGGTGCTGATAAGAGGCCAGTTTCAGTCAGAGGTGGCTTTTCCCTCAGGCTTGGACTGCTTTAGGCAAACTATTTTCTCATGTAAAACTTGAGAGAAGGTGGCTGGTGTATAGAAGGGACAGGTGATACAGCAGACTGCTGGCAAAACAGCCTGTGGGCTTTAATGACTCCTGTAGCCCTCCACACAAAAGTTTTTAACTTAGTTCACATGTCTTAGCTGTTTTTTGGGTATCCTGGAGACTCAAGTAGTGAAGTATGTTTGTTAAAAAAGAGGTGTATGCTGCTGTATAGATGTAATGTCTGTCTGCTTTGGAAAAAGACTGCATATAGTTTTGTCCTGCCCAAGTATACTTAGTATAAATGGTAGAAATGAGCAGGTTTTATTTATGTGATCATGTCTTGATAGTGTTATTAAGGGTATAATACCATGTCACCTGTATAATCACCTGCTCTGTAGCCATTGTGCAGGTGGTTATCAGGCAGATGAGAGACTGGCAATGTTGGCAGCTTTTTTTCTTGGCAGAGAAGCTATATACTCTGCACATCCACTCTGTGTCTCCCCAAAGGAGCCACTGTTGCGTGCCATGGTGTGAAACCTCCTGTGGGAGGCTTAGAGCAGGATGTGTTCACTGTTATTGCTAGCATTCACCAGAGGTTTTGCTGCTGTGAGGGAGAGAATACTGCTTAAGCTCTGTATAAAAAAAAAAAAAAACCAAAACGGTTTACTGTGCAACTTCTTACTTCTCTCTGGTGGCTTTTTTTATCTCTCTGCTTTTTAACCTGCAAAGAAAAGATCTTAGATAACTAATCAGGCTTTGTTTATGTGTTGTGTGGATACCTGAGCTTAGCAGAAGTTTGCATTCAAATTAGGAACAAGGTAATTACAAAAAGTAAGCAGCTTTACCAAATCTGTATGTTGCAGTCTTAAACTGAACTGAAGAACACCTGTGTTACACCTTCCTGGGTGTTTTGCTTCCTGAAAAGCAGTATAGTATCCATCAGCTATAGGACTATACGGAAGGGCTAGGAAACAAATTGCCAAATTCCTGGTTGGCAAAAGTGCTACTGTTACCCTTCTTCCTCTCTGACTCTTTGGGACAGCATGTGCTGTTCTTCCAAGATGTATTTGGTGAACCTGTGAGTATGAGCACTGAAGCCTTTATTTATGGTGCCACTGCCCTCTTTCTACAGGCTTTATTATCTCTATAACCACTGGATTATGCGAACAGTCACCTACTTCTTCATCTTTCTCAACCTATCCCTTGCAGTGTTTGAAGAACCTGCTGTGTATCCGCTCCCCTTCCTGGTAAGTTTTCAGTGTAGAAGCAGCAATGCAACTAGTATTGCATTGCTTGGTAGAGCAAGCAAGGGTTTCTTGTTTGAATCTAGTTGTCAAAGGTGTCAAGAGGTAATTGATGCTGATACTTCTGTTGATACCTTTTATCTACTGAAATAGAGACAAAAAAGGGCATAGGAGCTAGGTGGGGAGTGTAGAGGGAGCCACGATGGCTGCCAGGAATGCATCGCAGACTGTGGACAAAGTCATGTTGCTTTTCAGCATCTCTGAGAACAATTCCAGCCTTCTATGTGACCCAAGTCTAGTCCTCATGTCTGAAAGCAGAGATGGAATGTTGCCCTTAGGACTGATTTTTCTGCAGCCTTTATTTGTTCTGCACTAGTGTGTTTGAGAGATGTGCTACTTCAATCCTAAGAAAATACAATTTTACTGCCTTTAACCTGCCTGTGACAGGGAATTTTGCAAAAGGAAGCCTAAAACTGTTGCTCAGTGCCAGATATATGAACCTGTAAAATAGCTGGGAGCAAAAACCCCCTAGAAAAACTTTTATGCTGACTTTGCCAGTTTTTTCTTTGCCCGTACCCCAGCCTGAACATCCTCATCCATGTGAAGAGGGCTAGTCCTGCTCTTGGTTTTCCTGACTTGGGCCCCTTCTCTCTCTGCAGGTCACTTCTCTGGTTGAGGTGTTGTGCCTTCTGGTGTTCTTTGGCCGACTGACACATTTTGCAAAAGTGACCTTTCGCAACGTATTCTGGAAGGATACCAAGAACATCTGCATCATGGTTGCAATCCTGGTGAGTTAGGTCTAGAGGAGTCTCCAAGGTTGAAGTGGCCAATGTAGAGGTGGCTTTTTCCTCCTGTTGCTTTCCTGGTAACGTAGGCCTACAAGAGCCATGGCCATAAGAGCCCATAAGGGCTCTACAAGAGCCATGGCCAAATCAATCAACAGTTGGGCCTGTTCTCACAAACCTGTTGTGTGTACATCTGTCTTGTATCAGCTAACCCTATTGTCTTCACCATCCAGATGCATTTCTAACATTGCTTCTGGGGATTTTCTTTCTTTCTTCTATAGTTATCCCTAACAGACTTGGCCATATATGGGATCCTCAGGATATACAACATAAGCAGCATTAGATGGTCAAGAATTGTGAGACCCATCTTCCTGATCAACTTTGCAGAGAGTCGCCAGGTAAGGAAGAGGTCTGGTGGGATGGATGTCCGGTGCAGGGACCTATTTTTGGACAGCCTGCTGCTTTCTGAGATGCAGGGGATTTAGTAGAATACTTTTGGGGTAGAAATGGCAGAATTCAGGTTCCTATGAGTGAAGGTTTCTCTTAGAGGTGGCCTGAAGCATTGGAGAAAAGGGTGCATTCTCACTGGTCTGCTTGGCACTGTGCAAAATACCAAAAAGCTGCTCCCTGTACCTATGGGTTGGGTTATTGCTGGCTGGTGCCCTTGGATCCTGAGCCCAGAGAGTTCTTGGGACTGGAACTGGAGCTTCTCACCAGACACGGTGCTGTGATGATTTTGGGAAGATCATGCTTAACGAAGGGTGAGACTGGATGGAGAAGGAAGAATAGTTCTTGTAAGGTGAGCCCATGGGTTGTGCTTAGTCCAGTCTGTGTGGAGGAGCAGCCTCTGTTTGCAAGCAGAGTTAGATGCCTTCCTCAGGAAATGCAAACGTGAGCAGCACTGCAGACAAGAAAACTGTTTTTCCCTGGGTCAGGGGCCAGGTTACTTATTTCTGGAATTCTCCTAGGCAAGCAAGCACAAGTGTCATGCTGTTCTCAGAAACTGAACTTGTAGTCCGGATGGGTGATTTAAACTCTGATTTCTCTTGTCACAAGGAGATCTTTGCCCCTCTGCCCAAGACTGTTCTGGTCCTGACTTGCAAATGAATAAACTACTGTGGTGCAGAGGCCTGGGGGAGGGAGCAGTCAGACCCTCAGGCTAAGAGCATGTGTAACTGCAGAACACTGGAGTGATGGGCTTCTGTGCCTGGCAAGTTCCATGGAGCGAGAGCATCTCAGCAGTGCCACGGAGCCCTCTGTGGCCTGGCTAGCTGAGTTCGTGATGGTGTTTAGATAGGGTCTCTCCTGTCATCTCTTCTGGGAAATGAGAAGGAAAGGTCTGTTATTCTTGCACAGGTTTTAGCAGAACAGAGCTGACACATCTGGTTCAGAATCTCTCCTGTTGGGTGACAGAAGGCTACCTTTGTCCCATTTTGCTTACCTGTCCCTGTGTAGGTGTTTGATCCAGATGGGATGATGAGGGGAAAACCAGGTACTTTCTTGCCTCTAATGCTTCCCTTCTCCCTGGCAGATTCGGAGGGCCTTCCGCAGCATCCGCAACACGCTGCCAGAGATCACCTACGTCTTCTTGCTCTTCATGTTTAGCCTTCTCATGTTCTCCCTCATGGCCTTGAAGCTGTTTGGTGAGAGGTGTGAATACTTCTTTTGCACGGAGCTGAGTGGAAAGAATGTGTGTGAGATACTTTGGGGCAGGAGGGAGTCTGGCAACTCCAAATGATTACAAGCACTGCTGATATGTGCAGTTGCTGTGGTGGGACACGTGGGCTCTGTGCTTCACTTCAGATTGTCCTTTTTCTCCTAGGAATCTCCAGACAGCAGAAGGCTTGCCGTATTTCAAAAACTACCTAGGAATTGTGTTTGACCTCTATGTGCTGGTGACAACAGCAAACAGCCCGGATGTCATGTATGTATGCTGAGCTTGCAGTCTTCTCTGTTGTGAACACTGGTGTCCTGCTCCTAGTGGCAGGATCTCCGGTTAGAACAATGCTGTGTTTTGCGCAACAAGGTATTTCAGAACAGCAACAGGGTTTTTACTCTTCCAGCCTGCAGGGGCTTCATGAATTGTCAGCCATTTGTCTTTTAAATGGCTCTGACCCAGAATCAGGGCTTCATGAATTGTCAGCCATTTGTCTTTGGCTCTGACCCAGAATCGGAGTTTCAGAAGATTTTTGGAAAAGATGCATTAAAAATACTGTTTTCCAAATGACCCAGTAGCTGATGAAGGCTTAAACCTGAGGGACACACATTCTCTTTGATTAAAACCCCCTTCTGAAAAGGAAGAGTGTGCTCTAGTGGCCAGGTGTTTTGTTATCTTATATTTGCAGGGCTTTCCATGCAGACCTTTTTAATTTGCACAGCTGGATTAAACTTATTTGAGGGTTGGACTTTCCAGTCTCATTTGTTCTAACTGGGTTCCCGTTTCAGTTTGTACTCTGAAGGTGCCATCAAAGAGAGGGAGAGGGAGGAATGGCACGCTCATTTGTGTGGTGATGTACTGAACAGAACTGGGACTGAACAGTTACAGGGACCCTGGGCATTTATACTCAGAAATGCTGCTAGTCCTAAAGTTAAGTGGAAGGGGAAGTCTGAGTGCAGTGACGGTTTGTGAGGCCAATAGCCATCTTATGACTGAGACATCACTTCAAGGCTGCACTTAGCCCCACTGACAGAAGCTTTATCTCTGTGCTCTCTCTTCTGCATCCCTTCAATCTAGTGGAAGAAAACTGTTCTCTAACTGAATCAATGCACAGTTTTTAGCTGGGGTATTATCTGGCTATCCAAAACAGTACTTAGAAATCCATCTAGAAGACTGTTTTCTTGTGGTTTCTCTTGTATCCCTGTTTGTTTGCCTATCAAGTAGCAATCTCTCTCCCATTTACTAGGATGCCAGCATTTGACTTCAGCTCATGGTATGCCCTGTTCTTCATTGCCTTTGTCATTGTCAACACGTATATCTTCATGTCTCTCTTCCTGGCTGTCGTGTACAACAACTACAAAAAACACCTGAAGGTAATGTTTGGAGAGGTGAATTGTGATGGGTGACTGCCTGCTGTTCTGTGTAACCTTCTAAGGAGGCATCTGGCTTTCCCTTGAAAAGCTGCTGCTTCTGGAAGGTGTGGAGAATGGGATACAGCTGCTTGCCTTTGATGCTCTGCAGATAACAAGCACAGGTTCACCTTTCATATGATGGGATTATTGCAAGTTCTGCTTTTAGCATGTAACAGTGAAAAATTCTATGGCTCTGTGGACCCAAGAAATTGCAACAGATAGGATGCACATGTCTCTGTATTATTGCTGTTAGAAACTAATTCTAGCTTAAAGACGATGTCTCTAGGCAGGAAACTGTTCTCAGTTGGCTGGAAGTGCATAACACTCTTCTGCCACTGTATGTGCTCTTAAAGCAAAGGAAATGCAAAGGGAGGTCGAAGTAAATCAGAACTCTTGCTTCTTGCACCCAAAATGACTAGGTGCAGTTCGGTATTTGTGATCAGAGGGTGAGAGCTGGAAATCCCTGGGAGCTTCCACGAGGGGATTGTCTCTTTCTCAGTAAGCAGTCTGGTAGGTCTTCCCAGAGGCTGCAGTCTCCCAAGGGCATAAGGTTCTTCAGCCTCCTTGTAATCGTGTGCAGAAGAGGATCTTCACCCCTGATCTCAGCAGTATTCACTTTAGGATGGAAAACACGGGTGGACACATCCTCTTTGACTTGTGGGCATGCAGATCCTATGATCCTTGAAAGATGTCCCCCCCATCTCCTTCCCGTTAGAGAGTATCCTTTTGTCTTCTGGTTTTTCAGTGTATCTTCCAGCAAGAAACAGTCTAGCAATCCTCCCAGAATGCTGTGCACAGAGGGCCTGTGGTTGCCTGTTAAATAGTCTTTGTCATCATGCCCGTTGACTGTGCTGGACTTTGTCTAATATCACTTCAAGTGTCTTCCTCTGAGTCTCTTCTTGCATTCCTGTGCCATGGAAATAAGAATATATATATTTTTTAAAAAAAAAAAGGTTGGGGGGGAAGGGTGACTAAAACTGCCTGAATCCTGATATTCTGTCTAGAATGAGATCCGTAAGCTTGCTTACATGAAGCACCGCAAGATGATAGAGGCCTTCAACCTCCTGAAGGAAGAGGAAGGAGCACAGTTTGTGGTTAGAGAAGCCCGGTGGAAGGAGCTTGTCAAGCTGGTGGCTCCTGATATCAGCAGCTCCCACCGAGAGCTGCTGCTACGCATCTCGGATGATGAGCAGAAGGGTTTCATAGGTGAGCAGTGGGGTACTGCTACGCTCAAGGGATTGGGGAGGCACCTGGGGTCAGGAGCCTGATGCTTCAAGGGTTTTGACACTGGGATTTGTGGTCTGTAATGGACCCAGAGGGACACCAGGCCCATCTTCCTGCTTCCCTCTAGGTTGCTTAAATCCTGAAAGGTTGTTCTTTCTGCCTGTAGCTATAGCATGTCATGTATGCTGTGGGCAGCTCTTCATGACCTTTTGACATCAGGGCAAGCTCGCCATGGAGAATGGGGCCTCCTGTTCTGAGCAGAGCACAAGGAAAGCCTCCCTTGTTATCAGAGTCCTCCAAGCAATGTGGCTTCTCACACGGAATCACGGAATTGTTGGAAGGGACCTTCTTAGAGATCATCTAGCCCAACTCCCCTGCCAAAGCAGGATTGCCCAGAGCACATTACTCAGGACTGCATCCAGGCGGGTCTTGAAGATCTCCAGAGAAGGGGACTCCACACCCTCCCTGGGCAGCCTCTTCCAGGGCTCTCACTCTATTTCTGATGGAGACAGGCTATCAGGAGAGATGGATCAGTCTCCTCATGCTAGATCATGCCCATCCTGATCATTAAAGGTTTGTGTTGGTTGTTGGCCTATGGCTTGAGCCAGTCCCTCAGGAACAGGGCAGAGGAGCTGCTTGAGTACTGAGTTCAGGCTGTTCTGTGTTGAACACCATTTAGGTATTAGATTTCTGCAGCTCTTGTGCATATAGGTTTGCATTTGCCAGATGTCATCTTTTTTTTTTAATGATAGTAGACTGATGTGTAGTGCTCTCCCCTACTGCAGATAAGAAGTCCTTTGTACAACTGGCAGATCTCCTCAACATCCAGGTGGTTACCCTGAAAATACGCAGCCATCCACTGAACCAATGGATGCCTCGTGTGTACAAGTCAGCAGTGAGTCAGTTCCTGCGCAGCATGGTCAGGCACAGGTAAGCCTCTACTGGTGGAGGAAGCAGCTCTTAACATTTGATGCAGTGATGTTGCTCAGCTGAGTGTCATGCTGGAAAGTGCAAACTGCATTTAAGCAAGCATTAAGGGTTCTGTTTTTAAGTGTTCTGTGGACCAGCTCTGCTCTTAGCCTACTTTCAGTGGTGTGGAGAAACTAGACTTGGCGAATGGTGAGTCCATACCTCTTCCAGTCTCTCTTGTTCAGATCTTCTGTAGTTTTTACTGAAAACAAGAAGTGTTTTATGGCCTGCCTTGAAGGACCAGACTAAATGCTTCACCTAAAGGTGATCTTATGTCAGCAGTCTCTGCAAAGCTGTATTGTGCTGCTTCATCAGCTCTTACCAAGTTGGTACTGTGAGCTACTAGTACTTTATTTCATGTCTGAGTCTTCCCAGAGTAGCAGAATTCCTGAGGCTGGAAGAAACATCTAGAGATGGTGTAGTGCAAGTCCCTCACTCAAAGCAGGGTCAGCTGAAGCAGGCTACTTGGCTCTATCTAGTTAGGTTTTGAGTATCTCCATGGATGAAGACTCCATAACCTCTCTGCAACCTTTTCCAGTGTTTGACCACCCTTGATTTAAAAAAATAAAAAAGTTTTTCTTTAAATGGAAACTCCAGTATTTTAACTTGTGCCCCTTGCCTCTTGTGCTTTCATTGGATACCACTGAAAAGAGTCTGGCTCCATCATCTCCACACCTTCCCATCAGGTATTTATACATATGTATTGAGATCCCCCTAAGCCTTCTCCCCTTCAGGCTGAACAATTTGTCAGACTATCCTGTCCTTTAATTGGTTTTTGTGACCCTTTACTGCACTTGCTGTAGTATGTTCATGTCTCTTGTACTGGGGAGCCCCGTTGTGGACACAGCACTGCAGATGCAGCCTCACCAGTACCGAGTAGGTGGGAAAAATTACTCCCCTCAGCCTGTTCAAAACACTTTTCTTAATGTAGCAGAGGAGGCTGTTGGCCTTCTTGGTACCAGGGTGCATTGTTGGCTTGTGTTCAACTTGACAACCAAGACCCTCTTCACCCCTGGATCCTCTGTAGAGTTGTTTTTCAGAGGGTTGACCCCCTGCCTGCACCAGTGCCTGAGGTTATTCCTCCCCAGGAGCAGGACTATGCCTCTCCCTCTGAACATGGTGGGATTCCTCTCTGCCCGGTCCCCAGTCTGTCCAGGTTTCTCTGACTGCAGCACGCCCATCTGGTGTACCGGCCACCACTCCCAGTTTTGTCTTCCATTTTACTCATCCAGTCTTCTTCTGCTTGAGAGATGCTGCTTGACTTGCTAGAAGCACAGCTGCTGTCATTCTCTAAGAGTTTATTTAGCACTGTAAAGCATTGTCAGTGGAGCACCTCGAAGGCTTGTGCTCTGCTTTCAAGGGCAAAGTTAAATTCTGTAGTAACTTTCCAAAACTCTTGGGTTTGGAGAGAACTGTTTGGTACAGGTAGCTCACCTAAATGACAATGTTTGAAAGAGAAGGTAAAGAACTCCTGAAATAACTGTGTAATTTTTACCTTTTTGGGAGCGGCAAACTGATTTCTCTTTTTCTTCTTGCAGGGGATTTGTTTGGACTTACGATGTGATCATTCTAATAAATGCTGTTTTCATTGCTCTGGATGAGGCATCCCCCTATATTTCTTATGCAGAGTGGGTCTTCCTTGCTTTGTATATAACTGAGATACTCCTGAAAGTGTACACTTACGAACCGAGGGCGTTCTTTGGAAAAAATCAGTTCTGGAACTGGTGAGTGCAATGAATGTTTGTGTTAACAGTGGTGTGAAGTGTGGCAAGATCTTTGTGTTCAGCTTCTCAAGAACTGGGCTGCCTAACTTATGTGTCAGGGTAGAATTAAAATTATTGTATGCATCAGAGGACACTGTGCTTTTTCCTGGCTCTGACGGTTCTCTGCCCTGCTCTGCTAGCTCAGTCAGAGGCATGTGAAGATGGTGGCTGGGCAGGAGAAAGAGTTTTGCTAAACAGAACTTTCCCATCCTCCCACCCTACAAATAGTTTGAGATGGTGTGGGGCTCCCTGGCACGGATGGGAGGAAGAGGGCTTACCACTCTCACGTGTCATGTGGCAGTTTAAGTGCCCATTCTCTGTTGCCACAAATTTAACAGCACTGCCTTCCCTCGTGCTAGGTTTGATACCCTCATCATCTTTGCTGCCTTGACTGCAACAATACTCAATACCACCCTGAAATCAAGTAAGTGCAGCTTAACCAGTCTGCATGCATCTGGGAAACTCGGTGGTCTTGAGTTGTCTTTTGCCATCACCTTGGGCTTGGGAGGCTTTTTGGGTTTCTGCAAACTAACCCAGTCTTTTTTTTATATATAAGTACCTGTTATAAACAGTGTTTAACAAGGACATAAACATAACAAATGTAAGAATAGGCTTTATCTCTACACTTCCCTGCTTTTTTTTTTTTTGTAACAAAAACAAATTTTCCTTTCTCAGCCACGAAGTACAACAGCCAACAGATCCTGGACATTGTCTTCATCTTAAGGGTCCTCAGGCTAGTAAGGATTGTTGACAGCATTCAAAGGTAATGAAGAGAATGGGATAGGGGTATGGTTTCTGTGGCAGGCTGTGTCAGAGGCTGGTTGAGACAGTGCCTTGAGTTGCTCTGCATCGCTGCTTTGGAGTGACCCTGGCCGCTCAACAAAGCATCCCAAGGCCTTGTCCCACTGTTCCTGGCAAGAGCCCAGTTGCTGCATCCTCTGTGGAGAATTATTTATGTATAAGGGTGTGTGGGGACCATGTGGTGGATGGGATGTGCCATGGGCTTTAAAAGAGCCTCCACATAGCAGGTGTTGTAATGAATCATTTGCTGTAGGTTCCGGGTCATCATGAACACGCTGATAAACATCGTACCGACAATGTTGACATTTGGTGGGCTGACTCTGGTAAGAAACCCTGGTATCTTAGCTCAAAGCACTGCAGTCTTACAGGAATGCATCTTAAGTCTCATGCTATTTCCAAGAGGATAAATGCAAATCTCTGCGTGGCAGGCCTTTGAAACTCTAAGTGTCCATTTGATTCTTGGTCATTGCACCCGCAAACGTCTGCAAAGTGGTTGGGTTCCTGCTAGTTGCCAGCTCAGGACAGCCTTCTTTGCTCCACAGAGCAGTGAAGATGTTCTGTGCAGTCTGGGCTTCACACTGTAAGGAATGAAACTATGGTTTGGGCAAGAAGCTGAATGACAAACCTGTTTCTCAAATAATTTCCTAAAAATAGGTTTTCCTCTTAAGATTTGAGAATACGTCATATATTTGGGCTGTAGTTCTTGGCTCATTATTTCTGCCCAGTAATTGCTCTTGAGTGTCTTGGGTCTCTTGGACTCTATGCTGCTTCCCCAACAGCTTGTTGTTTCGCTAAAAACCAGAAAACATGCTGGAACTCTAAGCTTACCATGGCTCTTGCTGCTCACTGGAGAAGCAGGAGATGCGGTTTCTCTTCCCAGGTTGTGTACTGTGTATTTGCTATCATTGGTATGGAGTTATTCCATGGGAAAATCCAGTTCTTTCCTGCAAACTCAAATGCTCCTTATGCCCTGGAATGTGGAAACCCAGCTCTCAAGGATTCTCTGTTTGCCCGTGGGAAATACTGCAAGAACAACTTCAACAACTTTGTATCATCCTTCATCGTCCTGATGGAGCTCACTGTAGTCAATCAGTGGCATGATATCCTTTGTGGTGAAAGGTCCAAACTTGGTGATCCATTTTGTAATCCTCTTCTCCTTGCATTGCACACACCTGTGCACATAGTGTTAGACGAGAGAGAAATGGTTCCTACAGAGGGGTTTGTTGGGAAGGTGTGTAGTTCTGGGCAGTGTTATCTTGTTACCTGGTTCCTCCCTTAGTGCTGCTCTACAGCAAGATGTTCTCTTCCTTTAGTGCTCTTTCCCTTGACTCCCATTATACTCTTTGCCAATGGATTTGCCAACGTGACGGTTCAGCCTGCGAAGCTGTATTTCATTGCCTTTCACATTGTGATGGTGATAATTATTGTCAAGTAAGTTTTGGGTTGCTCTCATCCACTTTGGAGGGAAGAGGGGCTCTGCCCCCTGCCAGGGCACTGCTGATGGTCCCAGGGTCACACACAGTGTGACACTTAGAGACAGGTAGAACATGTCATGGGGGAATCTGCTGCATCTACTTTTATCTCCAGTGACTGCTTCTCTACCTTAGACCTCCCCATCTCCAGCAGAGGAGGGGATAGAGGGCTGGGGAATGAGCCTGTGAATACTGAGACAGTAGCTGATGCCCAAAAGCAGGGGGGATGCCAGTAAGGAAATGCTGCTGTGTAATTCTGCCCATCATTTCTTTCAGTATCTTTGTGTCATTCATTTTGGAAGCTTTCTTTGTGGAGTACTCGCTAGAGAAGAGTGAAGTAGAAACGGCTATTGAGCAGAAAATCCAGGAGCTGGGAATGGGAGTTCAAGAGTAAGCACCCCCAAATGTTGTGCTGGATGTGGCTGGCTCAGCATATCCAATGAGGGCTGGGGAACTGCAGAATGGGAGTTCAAGAGTAAGCCCCCCCAAAAGGTTGTGCTGGATGTGGCTGGCTCAGCACATCCAATGAGGGCTGGGGAACTGCGGGAAAATGCCACTCTCTGTCCTGAGGTGTGACTCGAGACTCCTCTCCCTTGTCACAGAGTTCTTGCTAACCTGTCATGACCAGGTGGGCTTGGTCTAGATGTTAGCAGATGGCTACTCACATTGACTTGTGAGGTGCCTTGCTGAGCTCTCCCAGTCCGGGGCTGTTGCCCAGAGGACAGGAGAGGTGCTGGAGACAACACAACAACTGGTTCTTGCCCTGCCCCAGAGAATCCCTTGCTACTGGATACCCATGGCCCTCTGGAGTAAGTAGTGTCCTCTGGGGTAACTTCTGGCCCTTGTTGTATAGGGATAAGCTCCAGGATGAGCAGCTCCTTGATAACATGGAGAGTGATGAGCACGACCTCGAGGGGGAAGGTGGAACAAAGCGACAGGCTAAAGGGCTGGTGTTTAAAATCGCCTCCAAACGTAAGTGCAGCCCTCCACTGTGCCCAGTCTGTGGTTTAAGACGCCAAGGCTCTGAACTGTCCCTGGTGTCACCCTCTCTCTAGGGAAGCTCCAACACAATTCTGCTTTCTTTCATGCTGTAAAAGCTACTAAAACCCATCTGGAGGTTTTTAGAGAACTGTGGACACTCAACGTTTGCTGTTCTTTCTATTTTGTAGCAACTCCTTTTCCTCTTTCCTACCCAGACCCTCCTGTGCACACTTTGGTCAGTAGCCAGTCTATGAAGATGCTGCTTTGGTGGTTGAGATCCTGCTGTTGCCAAGAAACCTGTCCTCTGCTTTTCACCCTCCTGTACGCACTGTTCCTCCTGGCTTGGATGGTGGTGTGACTGTGCTCCTTTCTTCTAGCTTAGTGACTACTTTTTCTTCTGGCTTTCTTGCGGCACATTAGCAGTTCCCTAGTCTGGTGCTTCTGGGCATGGTGGCTGTTTGGGATCACAAATCCCCTGAAAGACACACGGGAATGGAATGCTTAAAAATCTTAAAGTAACGGTCTTATTCTTTGCAAGCATTCACAATGCTTATGGGGTAAAATACCAGGGAACAACACGGGTTGTTCCATTCCAAAACATTGTTTTCTTGTCTGTTTAGTGTAAAACATGGGGGGCTGCCTTAAGGTAGCCACTACCTAACTCCTGCTGAGGACCAGGAATGGATGCTTACAGCTCTCTTTTTTGGCCACCTGCAGGGTACAGGACGGTTGATGCTCTGCTCCAGCGGATGTTTGAAGCTGAGATCCCCCTTGAGGACGAAGGCCCTTCATTTGAGGAGATCTTAAACTTGTCCCCGGCCCCTGCTGTACCCAGTGACCTGACTTCTGAGCGTGCAGCATAACGGGGGGCAGCCCGTGAGGAGAAACTGGTTCTGCGCTGCCTGGCTGGGGTGCTCCCCGGCTGGCTGCTCCCCCGTGCCTGGGGGCTGGGCCACGCCGTGGAGAGGGCAGCTGATGCCAGAAAACGGCTTCATCATGTAAAGGAGCTTTATCTCGTGCCAAGTCCGGTAAAAATGTTGAAACTGGGGATGCTCTCCTGGGAAGCAGAGGGAGAGGGAAGTACCTGACTGTGCCAGTCGAGTGATGGTGCAGTATTCAGTATGTTATGTTACTTGTAACTGGAACCTTGTATTGCAGCACTTTTATATGCCTATATGGACCCATGTAAGCTGAATTAATCAGCTCTTCAGTACATTAAATTCAGCAGTTTAAAAAAAAAAAATCACTACTTCTCAGTGCATTGATGTGGGAGGGGCAGGGTGTGCTGGGCCCTGGGGATCCTGCCGTCGCTCTCACGTTTGCTTATAAGCTGAGCAAAGCGGAGGGCAGCGACCTGCTCTATGCGACCGCTAAATCTGAACTTATTATTTTATATATTGTTTTTTTGTCACTCCCTTCGCCTCCCGGCGCCCCCGCCCCGCCCGCGCCCCGGGAGGGCTGCGGCAGGCTCTGCCCAGGGGGCGGGGCCAGCCCTCGCCCAATGGGATTAGAGGGGAGGCGGGGTCTCCTGGCGGAGGCGGCTGGGATTGGCGGGGCGCGGCGGCCAATGGGAAGGCAGCTGGTGCCCGCGGGGCGGCTGCGCGGCGGGTTTGAATCGGCGGCGGCCGTTGAGGGCGGGCGGAGGGAGGGAGGATGGAGGTGGCCGCGCGGTGAGCGGGGACCCCCGGCCCGGCAGTGGGGGGGCTCGGGGGCTGCTGCCTGCGGGGAGGGTGACGGGGACACCCGGGCCTGTGCGGGAGGCGCGTTCGGGCAGAGGGGCGGGGACGGGGACACCCGGGCCTGTGCGGGAGGCGCGTTCGGGCAGAGGGGCGGGTGCTGCGGGGGGGGCCTGGGGTTGCGGAGGCCTCGGGGTTGCGGAGGCCTCGGCCCGTAGGCCAGGGCGCTCCCCCTCAGGCCCGTAGGCCGCGGCGGGCCCCCTCAGCCTGAGGTCAGCCTGGGCCTGAGCCCGAGCCCAGCCTGACCTGCCCCCTCGTCTTGCAGGAGCTACGAGGCTCAGATACGGAACTACCAGGGGACGGACCCGCTGGAGCCGTGGGACAGGTCAGCGCGCCCCGGGCCCGGCTGTCGGCATCGCTGCCCGGTGCCCGGCAGGATCGTAACTGGCTCGAGTGTGTTTCAGGTACATGCAGTGGGTAGAGGGATGTCTCCCCTTTCAAGAAAAGCAAACCCGCTTGCCTGGTCTCCTGGAGCAGCTGGTGAAGATGTTCCTAAGTGAGAAGAGGTACCACCAAGATCCCAGATTTGTTAGCTACTGCGTTAAGCTGGTAGGTATATGCTTTTTTTTGGGAATTAAGCTATCCTAACAAAATTAAAGTGGTCCCGCCGTTCTGTGGTTCTGTGACTGCAAAGAGCTGTGGGAGGAAAAGAAGCCTTCAGGGATATGGTGTAGAATTCAGGTGTGTTGCTCTCTCCAAGCTCTGAGAACTTGCTGAAGGATAACATAATTTTTTTAAAGCTGTGTTATTATGCTGTCAAGCTTGTGAAAGGTATCTTATCCACCAATTCGTTTTAGCTTTAGAAAATAATGCCTCTTACAATGGTAATTAAGAAATTGTTATTCTTTTTTTTTGTCTGCAGCTCCCTTGGATTTTTTTGAAAGTGTTTATGGCTTATGCATCTTTATCTTACGCAGGCGCAGTTCATCACTTCCCCTTGCCAGTACTTCGATTACCTGCATGGACAGGGAATTGGTGCAAAGGTGTCTGGCTTCTATGTTGCTTGGGCTCAGCAGCTTGTAAATGAGGGCAATGTGCAGTATGCAGGAGCTGTCCTTCAAAAGGGACTTCACAACCAGGCGCAGCCCCGAGAGGACTTGCAACAGCTGTATTGGTAAGTTTGATGGGTCGTTTTACTTGTTGAGTTATTCAGATAGTGTACAGTTAATTTTTTGTGTGTGTGTGTGCATATGCCCTATGCTGCAGCAGAGGTAGACCGATGATTGTTTTTGTGAAAGGCAGATATAAGCTTAACAATACTTCTTTGCTGTTCGATATTTGTTGGGTGTTTTGGAGGGTGTATTGAGGAAAAAACAGTGTCTTCAGTGAAGTGGGGCCCAGAAAGAAAATCCCTTAATTAATTGATTTGTTTCTTGTCTAGTCTTTGCTGAGTAGATCCAGACTATAAAGATGCATAACCTGTCCTACTTCAGGCAGCCTGCCTTGGAAATACTATACGTGAGCTTCATTACTTGGAAGCTCAAGCAAGTTGGCCATGCTAATGACATTTCAAGTTAGGGGCATCTGTGTGCTTTTGAGAGTGTATTAATTGGCTGTAGCTCACCCTGTAGCTGCCTGAGCTTTCTTGACACTGCCAGTTGAACACATACCTCAGCAGCTGCTTCTTGACTTGGACTCTTTTTGATTTTGGTTGGTGGCCATAGCTGGAACTGCAGTGAGACCAGATGTCAAATTCCTCATCTCAGCTGGATTTTTCAGCTTGGGTATATATTGACAATAATACATATATCCAGCTTCTTGTGCTTATCCTGCAGTACTTAGCTGAGTGGGTGCCTGTTGGAGTTTAGCATTTAACTCTTGAAAGTGCTAGAGTTGGTTTATCATTAAGGTATGTGTTTCCTCTGGTGATGATAAAACAAGAGCTTGATTTTCATATACTGCTGCCTATTGCAGACTTTTTTGCTTTTGAAAATGTGAAGCTAACAGGATATGTCCATATACAATAATAAGTGTCCTGTAACTAAGCTGAGGATTCTAGTGCTATTTTTCAAGACATGATGACCACACAAGGAAATTAAAGGTTTCTGGAAGGTGGGGAGGAAGGAGGGACAGGTGACTTAATGATAATAACTGACATTTCTTGCAATTTAGCTGGCTGCAGAATTACGATCCTCGGAATCCTCCTTTGCAAGGTGAGGCTAAAGATACCTGTTTGTGATCTGTAGCTCAATTTGGCAAATCACAGAATTGTTGGAGTTGGAAGGGACGTCTAGAGATCATCTAGTCCAACTCTCCTGCTAAAAGCAGGGTTGCCCAGAGCACATCACTCAGGAGCATCCAGGTGGGGCTTGAAGATCTCCAGAGAAGGGGACTCCACACCCTCCCTGGGCAGCATCTGCCAGGGCTCTGCCACCCTCACCAGAAAGAAGTTTTACCTCAGATTGGAGTGGAACTTCCCATGGTCCAGCTTGTGCCCGTTGCCCCTCGTCCCGTCACTGGGAACCACTGAAGAGTCTGGTTTCATCCTCCTTCAACCCTCCCTTTAGATACTTGCTTGATCAATGAGTTTTGTCACTGAAGAAAATAAGTTTCCTGCAGAAACTATTTTTTTTTTTCCCGTTTTCCTGGCTGTATTTAAGATTCATAAGGGGAGTGTATTCAAAAGGAGGTCTTAGTTTTCTAATGCTTAAATTTAGTAGAAACTCATAAATGAGCAAATGATTTCTACTCATTAATGCAAACCTGTGTTGTCTGTCTCAGGTGCTGCTGTTGTAAAACCACTTCAAACTTCACATGCTGCAAATCAAATGGCTCCTCAAAAAGATGTTTCAAATCTTAATGACCCAGTGTATGCTTGCAAAAATCAGGTAAATGACTATTAATAAGCAACTTAAGAGTTGTGGAGAAAAATGTAGATTGCTGAGCTTGACTCAATAAGACACATAATATATAGTAACTATATCTGGTGTGTCTCAAAAATATTAGTGATTTATGCTGTAAGCATCACATTTTCATGAAAATAGCTCAATTAGGTAACATTGGGACCCATTTTTTTGTTACTTAACACGCTTCCAGAATCACAGACTAAGAGTGACCCATGCATCTGGTTAGCATTCTTTGGAGGAATAATCTCAATAGATTCTGTGTCAGTCATGCTGCTTGAAAATTGTTTACACTGAATTTTCATGAAATTCAAATTACTTCTTTAAATACTCTCTTTAAGAACAAATAATGTCAGAGGAAAAGAAGTTTCTGAGCTGGTCCTCAGTGGAATGGTGGCTTCTTGTAGAAGTCAGTCTGTTGGGCTGGGAAATGAGTAGGAGATGGCTTTGTCACAGTTCAGGAGCCCCTCTGTAGCTTGCCAAGTCAGTCTCTAACAAGTTCCAGCTGAGGTTCTGCTTGTACCTTGTGCAGACCTTTAATTGACTTTACAGTCCAGATCCTGTCACCCTGTAGTCATCTTCCTTCATCCCCTTCCCCACAACAAAACAAACAAACAAAACCCCCCCGTACTACTTGTAGCTCATTTTAGCTAATACCAGAATGCAGCATGCTTGGTCTGAAGTTTGTCAAAGCTAATTGCAATTCTTCACAGTCTTTCTGGCACAGTCAGATGAAAAGTGACCAGGGAGTGAAATTAAAGACTGAAAGACTGCGGATAGGAAACTGATGTAACCTTTCTCAGCTTCGTCCTGTTTTCTAAAGTACTTGTGACTCTGAGTTTGCTTGCAAATACCAAAAAATGTCTTGGATGATGGAGTACAGCTTAGAACTTAGCATGTCTGCTGCCTGTTCCTTAGCCCTGAGGTCGGTTAGTTTGTCAAATAAAAAAATTGGATGAGACTACCCAGTTTGTTCTTAACAAACCCTAGTGATCCATAGCTTACCTTCCTGTTTTGGTTTTTTTTTGAAATATTAACTACCTGCTCAATTAGTTCCTGTGTCCCTCTGGGCTGTAGTTTCCAGAACTACGTCTCTTTCAGTTCTCTGGGGTCATATTTTTCTTTCAAAAGCTCTCAGAGATTACAGCCAACTGTTACAGGGCTAATTCTTCAGGATGAACTTCCTTAGACTCTGATGACTTGTAGAGCTCTCTTTCTAATCTGTTCTTGCCGTGCTTATGGTCTGAATTTTCATCTTTTCAATCAAAATTAAATACTAGGAACTTTATGGTTGCTAGTCTTGTCAAAATGGATGGTTAACTATAATATTGGCATTCTTTCTTCTTTTTTATTTTAATTTTTATTTCCCCTGCTCTGCTTTAGGGTCCTGATTGTGCTGGTGCTCAGTCCTGGTTTTCTGGTGGAAGAGAAGAAGTGTAAGTGTTTGGGTTTTTATAAAGTCACACTGTGGGAAAATTAACATGCTCCCAGAATAAATCCAATAAACTTGAATAGAGATTTTTCTTGTTTTTCCTCACAGAAAGTATGTTACATACATCTCCAAATCTGAAGTTCTTCCTAAGTTGTCATCTGCTGTTGTCGAATGTGAGCAGGTTGCAATGTATGATAAAAACCTGCTCATATGTGAAGGCTCTGAACTTTCATTTGAGGAGCTGAGGGCCAAGAGATACTTCAAGAAATATGAGCGCCTCAGAAGACAGCAAGAATGGGGTATTCTTCTCTTTCCTTCTAGCTAATTCAGAAACATTCTCGTATTCCTGGAAAACTAGTACTTGGTTGCATTAATTGCTTTTCAACCTCTCTACTGAAGCCTGAAAACATTTCTCAAAGCCCAAGCTAGCATCCCCATACAGAAACAGGGTGGGGTGAGCTTGGAAGCATTAGGTAACGTGCCAAACAACTGACATTGATATTTACTATTGAAGTTCATCCCTTAGGTTTGTCTTTTGAAACCTAGGTTGTCATAAAGAGTGGTGCTCCTTCTGAGGAACAGGAGGGAACTGCGAGCAGCTCTTAACTGTTATTAGTTACCCTGATGTGAGCTCTAGCTGTGGCTTTCTGCCACCTGTAATTCAAGATCAAGAGCTTCTTGGTACCTATCAGTAGGGTGTAATCAGGAGACCAGAAACCATAGGACCTTTAAACTGTCCTATGGTTACATATGATGCCACAATTTGCCCAAGACAATTAAAGGCTGCTGCAGCAAAGAGGGCAGCACTCTGTCTTCACTTGGCCTTCTTGGCAAATGTAGCTGTGGGATGCCCTTTGTATAGTCAGTGCTTGTAGCTGGGATGGCCTATGTAATGTGAGGTAATACTTTTGTTTGCTGAATGATCACGTTTTGGAGAAAAAGTAGTGGGCTTTCAAGTAGACAAATTAGGTCTTTGAGAAGCAAACCCAAAACTGAGTGCAGATAAAGAGCAGCTGCTCAGAAGTGTGTGAGTTGTGTAGCTGACCATGTAGAGGAGGTGGGGGGAAAATGTTGCTGGGCTGGGGGATGTTACTGGAGGAAAGAAGTAATTGTCTCACTTGGTAATGGAAGACATGGTTTAAGTTGTAGCGACTGGAACAAGGAGAGATTCAGTGGGAGAGAAGATGCTAATGGATTTTTAAAACAAGTGTTTGAGCCTGGATTTTTCTTTTTAATCCAGTAATTATGTATGAGATTTCCCAGCAGGGGCAGCTCTTCCCTTGGGGACAGCAGGCTCCATCCCTACCCAAATTTTACCAAAGGGTCATATTGGTAGAATCTTTCAGAGTTGGTTTCCTTTTGAGCTGAGGATGGGTGCCACTGGCATGCTTGCAGCAGCAGGGAGCCTGGCACCACAACATACACTGGGTGAGAGGTAGGCAAACCTGTGAACTCTGCTGAAAAGTATTAGGGGTGCCACTGGTTATCCAGCCACTGCTGAGACAGAGTTGTGTAGCATTCCCTCGAGGGATCAGGAGTGAGAGGTTAGAGTCCTGCAGGAAATACCTGCTTCTTTCAAACTTATGCCTCCAGATCTGAGTGTTGTCCTGCAGTTGCACAGACTACATATATATATATATCTGAATTTTAAACTCAGGCAGCTTGTAATGTCTGTGTTGAGCAATTCATTTGGATGCTGATTAACTCTTTCACTTACTATCATTGTTCTATCCTTAGAAGAAGAAGAGAGAAACTCCATAAGGAAAAAAGAGTCAGCGGTCCTTGAACTGCAAGCCCTGGAGCAGAAGCTGGAACAGCTCACCCAGCTCACCAAAAGCTTGGAGGAAACTAGACTGGAAAAGGCATCTACAACATCAGCTGAACCAAATAAAACACTGGTAAGTAGGTACTATGATCAAGCAGTCTTCATGAACTTATCTCGTAAAATTTAACCCTGATTTAGACGGTAATCTGAATAGTTTGCTAATGAAATCTGGAAGTCAAGGCTGCAATATCTGATTAGTACAGGTACATGGCATAACTTTAAATGCTTGATGAAATACATTTTCTTAAACCCAAAAGTTTGTTTTTGCTTCTCTGCAATTTCATTTTAGTTGCATATAAAGTTCTCTTACGTGTGAAAAACTGTTCTAGTTATGCAGAAATAAAAGTGAAAATGGCAATGGCTATACTTGAGGGGTGTTTTTGAGCATAAAAGAACTTTTCTTATCTCTAAAGATGGATGTGACACCCAGTGCAGCTCTACAGCAGAACTGGATGGCATCTCATCAAAGTTCAGACCTGCAAAATGTCCAAGGTCTGGTGCCAGGCCAGCCTCGATCAAGTATTGTATCATCCACTGGTCTTACACTGCAGTCAATGAGACCTCTTGGCCACCAGATGACACCAACCTCCCTGTGGGAAGCAACAGATAAGAAGGATGCAGTCAAAACTCAGCTACAGCTTGGAGAACTCCAGAACAGTTTGTTACACCCTCCATTCAATAATGTTTCGGCTAGAGAATGGGCACATCCTGACTCAGCTCTTAATTGGAGCACTGGAGAACAGTATGTATAAACAGGCTAATTCTTGCTCTGCAAATTGTCCAGTCTTCAGTATCTACACTTCAGCTGAGAATTAATTAAAAATATTTCTTTACTTTTCTTCTGAAAAAAAAAAAGTCTGAAGTAGCCTGTGGGAGCCAATATTTAGACATGGATCAAACTTGTATAACTTACAGTACTCACTTCAGGTTTTAATTCCTTTAACCCTGTATTTTTATTTTAATGACCAAGAGGAAATTCAGTGTGTAACTGCAGTAATTATCAGCATTGCTGTTGCTGGCATGCCTGAAATAAACAGTAGGATATGCTTGGTTCATGCAGATCCCATATGTTACATCTTGGCCACAAAAGGTCTGCAGAGAATAGAATAAGTGCTTGTATTTATCTCCTGCACTCTTGCTTGTGCAACTCAGCTAATGCAGGAAACAAAATTGGGGGGCAGAGGGAGAAACCTATGTTGGCAAAGCAGGCATGGCTGTGTAGGCTTGGCCAATTAGAGGAAATGGAACCAGTTGTCATTCACTTATATTATGGAGTTATTTGGGGGCAAACTGTATCCAAGAGGAGTATGTAATGCAAGCATTTCAACCTTTTTAAAGGACTCTGCTGCCTTTCAAGTTTTGTACCTGTTGGAACCTGTATGAGACACTCCTGGGGGGGGAATCTCAATATTCTAAAGGGTCTTTGATGTATTCTCTTTGTGTGACTAAAGAGAGTCGTTCGGGGGGGGGGGAAAGTAGGATTACTAGTTGCTGTCTGTCTGGGATGTTTCTTTTGTTCTAGACAGGGGAAGGCCTCCTTACTTACTGGGCAGTACTGCTAAGTCCTGAGCCAAAGCTGGAATTTATATGGTAGCTTTTATTTTAAGCTGATCTTAATCTTTCCTTTGAAGGCACTCTGTCAAGAGATCCACTGGAGAAAATACTTCCATGGACATGAAAGAAGGTACTAAGCCTAGTTTTGGTAGACTGGTGCTATTGGTATGACTGTTACTGGCTGGGGATCAATATTATGTGGCTTCTAGTTCCAACTATATCTAAACTTTTTTATTTTCTTAACTCCATCCCATTGTTTGGGCAATGTTTCTATTTCCCTTCCATGGAGCCAGACCCTGTTTCCACCTGCTCAATTCCTTTTTGTTTGAGCATGGTTGGGAGTTTGCTGTTTGTCCTTGCTGGTTTCCTGCTTGGCTTTCTGTGTCAGAATACATCGTTTGGGGTCTTCAGAGGCCACCCAGCTGTCCAAGGTCCCTCTTGTCCTTCAGGGCAGTCTCCCTTGGGAACCTGCCAAGCTGATCTCTGAACAATCCACAGTCTGCTCTCCCAAAATTTTGGGTTGTCGTTCTGCTACTTATCTTGTTTACTTCTCTTACTAATATTTTGCTAGCTCCTGAAATGTTAATAAACAATCCTAGGCTACTTCAGCAATGATCTTGCTGTTCTCATTTCTAGCATCTAGAGTTGGAAATTCCTCCTTTGCTTCTGGAAATGCTTCTCAAGTTACCCCAAACACCTCGCTGGGAGGAGCGATGCAGGCAACACCATTCAAAGTGCAGCCTTCACCTACAGTTCATACAAAGGAAGCATTGGGTAAGCATCTGTAATAACATGGGAGTATTCACTGGAACTGGTAGGATCTTGCCTGGTAATTTTAGTGAAGCCAGATCTACAAAGAGGCTATCTAGTGATGGGCATGAGCAGCATTCAGTCAAAGAGGAAAATAAATTGGTAATCTATTGTGGATTTTCTGGATGACCCAAAGCTTTTGAGCAGAAAGGGATGCTTTAATAACATCCCGGAAGCCACATCCTGTAAACTCCTGGGTGAGTCACTGGTGGTACACCTGCCAGGATTCTTTGGGCAGCGTGTCCTCTGAGCTGCTCTGGTCAGTACTGTCAGGGACTCCTGTTTCTGAGATGATGACCTACAATGGACCGATGTGGAAGAACATTAGGAAGGTAATAAGTCAACTCTGGTTGATGTTGAGCTCTGCCCTAAAGCTGAAACAAGGGTGGCTTGTGTGCAAAAGGTCTTTGATTATTTAACAGACATTGTCTATTCTAAACATTGCTTTTTCAAAATCCTAAAAGAGAAATTGCAAGTGTATTTCTCATGTCAGATGTGGAGTAATGATATGGTGATGCTGTTTTATCCCTTTTATACTCTTCTGCCATGTTCTTCTGTTTTGATAGTAAATCTGTTCACTGCTACCATGTAGCAAGCTGCTGCAGCTGAATATATACCTGTGAAAATAATATATTTTTTTTAAAAAAAAGCTTGTAATATTCATGTCTTTAAAATATCTAAGAAGATAAAGGAGAATTTGCTGCTTTGGGAGAACTTGAAACCTTGCCTTAGAGAAGAAAGAAAAAAGTCATGGTGCCAACAAGTATGTGTTGGCCAAGTTGGATCTCCCTGTTTGTTCGGTTGTCTGGAGTGTTTAAATGGAATATGAAGGAATAATTGGTTATATTGGCACTTGACAAATGATAATAATTAATTGGCATTTGATTTGACTACTACACAACAGAAGAACCTCTGAAAATTTCTTTTCTTATACTGGGAGTGATATTCTTGTGGGTTTTATTTCTTTTTTAGGGTTCCTCATGGATATGTTTCAAATACCCATCTTGCCTGGACTATCTCCTCTTGAAGAAAGCAAGGAGCAATTTGAAGTCTTTTGCAGAAAAAGTGGTAAGGAGTACTTATTTTTTCAGTCTGTGATGTTTCACTCCTTCCTTTCCTGTTTGCCCCTCCCACCAGTCTTCATAATTTTAAGATAAGTAGTTCTTTGATTAGGTGTGGAATGAAGAGGCCACTTCTTCCCTGATAATGAATTTAATTATTGACATGTTCTAAATTTTGATGCATGATCTGAGGACAGCAGAAGCACTTTGCCGTTAGCAAGTCTATTAAAGTGTGTATTAAACATGTTGCTTCTCTGCAGCAACTTCTCTGATATTTAAACCATAACTTTGGAAAGGGTGCAGCTGGTACTTTGTATGAGTAAAGCTTTTTTCTAAAATATTATGCAGGCTGCGTGTTAATATCTGAATTGCCACCTTATTGTAACAGTTACCATTTTCTGAAAAGCAGGCAGTGGCTTACAAGAGTGAGCACAGAAGTATTTCACAACTGGTCAGATGCAGCCAAGAAGGCTTCTGTTCTACTGTTGGGGTGGAAAAATCTTCCCCATTTCCAAGAGTTTATAGGAGAGATGAATTGTGTGGCAATTTTGAGGATGCTTCTGGTCTAGGTAGATGTAGCCATGACTATCAGTTGCCTGGTTAGGAGTGAAAATGTCACTGTTTATATGATCTTTGTTGGGTGAAGATAATAGTGGTTATCTTTTTTTTTTTTTTTTTTAAGAGCCTGCTTTTGCATTTAAAATTGGATTTGTGCTAAACAGAGGCTTTTGTGCCTACAAAGAGCATCAGCCGTGGCCTGACCACAGGGTGCTCGCAGTATAATTTTTTTTTTTTTTTTTTTTTTTTTTAAGAGCCTGATGGAAGTCTGAAAGCTGCTGTTGCTGCTCCTGTCATGCCTGCATTTGCTATCTTTGAAGATGAGAATGAAAAAGAGAACAGCGGGTAAGGATAAAAAAAAAAAATAAGCTGAGTTCAGTTTATTTAGAATGACATGTAGGATTTATTCTATTCCATATGATTTTGTCGTGACTGTATTTGCAGTATGGGGATAGGCTTGAACACAAGCGCTAGCAGCTGGGTGGAAGTGGCATGAGAAAGCTCTAGTTACTTCTCTGTGGAATTGCGCAACTTTTCCTGTTTGGACAGTGTGCTTGAGATGCTTAATTTTCTTGATAACTGGATAGCTTGTTTCTTTGAGCTGCTGCAACTTCTCTAAGCATCTGCCAATGGGATTCGTTAAAAAAAAAATATAAAAATTAACAATAAGTCTTTGTTTTCATCAGTCTGACTGGGAAAGTTTCTGGGGAAAAGCTATTCTAAACTACCTGTTTTGTCAGGGTCCCACAGCATAAAAACAAGCCAGAAGGGCCCAGAACTATTGGAGAACGTCCCTTGACTGACTGCACAGCGGGTACAGAAGTGAGTGTTTGGTCTTATTGCAAGAATTAGCCTTGAAAATGGCTTATGTGGTTATAGGGGATATCGGAGTTGGTTGTATTTACATTTGTTCTACCCCAGTCCTGCAACCTTCTTATGAATGAGACCTAGCTGAAGTAAGTCTACATGTGCTTTCCCATTTCTTGCCAATGGGATGAACTTTTTCAGTTGTCAGTTTTTGCAAAACTTCTAGAAACTTAATAGTGGAGACCTCCATCCCTAGAATAAAGTTGACTGCAGTTGATGTGCAGGTTTGGCATCTGTTCTGGGGGAGGAAGGACGGGTAGAAAGAGACACTTAATGTTCTAATAGCCATCTAACAGTTTTCATAGCCAAGGAGATGCATAAAACTTAAGGCTGCTTGGATAGAAGTGATTACTAAGTAATGAAATTGGCTTTTTCAGACTCTTACAGCAAAGGTTTTTTGTCTAGCATTTTGCTGTCCTATTGACTATTGCCAACATTCAGGTCTGATGCAAAGCTATGTAAACCTGTGATTTAGGTTATATTGCCATTCTGTTATCTTTCGAATACTGTAAGTTGACACAGACAGACTCAGCATTACTGAAACTGACTGCAGAGGCTGCTGGTAGGTTCCAGTGGGGCTCTGGCGGGGTACTTTTGATGGCTCAGTTTTAAATCTTTATATATTTTTTCCTGTCTAGGAAGAAACAGGGACACCTGAGTTCTTAAGGGATGATTATACAGTGTGGAATGTACCAAGTAATAATAAAACGTTAGCTCCCAGTCCAAACAACACCAGAGACTTTGCACGAGCTGCCCAGCTTGTATCGACACCATTTAATTACCTGTCGGCACATTCCCGACAGGCTTTGGAGGACAAAGGTAAAATAATGAATATTTCAGGTTGAGAACATCTAATTCAATACTGCCCTGAGTATTGTTCAATACTTTCTGTGCCCTGGCTACCTCGCAGCCCTTGCTGAACACTGCTGCCATTTCTGAGGATGCATTCCTTACAGAACAGCAGCTGGGAACATGGGCTGGCCCAGCACATAAAACTTCTGAGAATTTTTAACTGGGGGAATAGAAGAAGGTGGCAAGGGAGGAGAGGCTTTGACTGTGCTGTAGAACTACTGTTCTGAACTGTTCCAAGGGGTTGTAAATAGTCAAAAAATTGACTGAAGTCCCAGCACCACCTTCTTCTAGGGGCACCTTTATGCATGTCTGCAGCTCTTTAGTCTTGGAATACTCTCCCTAAAGAAATCAAGTTTTTGTCTTTCCTTATATATTTTTCAATAGTCTTGTTCAGCTCTTCTGATACCTTAGCAGCTTTCCCAGTTGCAGTGTGACTTAACCTTCTTTTCTTGATAAGAATACTCTCGATGTGCTTATCTTTGTAGAAAATAAACATTTGCTATTGTTGCTACTCCTTTTGTTTAGCCTGTGGGGATGGCTTGCCACAAATGGATTTGGAGTTTTCTGGAGAACTGCACAAGCAGACAAAAACTAAGAAGCTAAGGTATGTCATGACTTGCTGGGATTTTCAAAGCTTGAGAGTGCTGGGCAAATCTGTCCCAGAGCAGGCAGGTCTGCTATTCTGCTCTTGAATCAAGTTTTCCAAGTCATCTAGAGCTGACATATTTGTGTCAGACTGACTCTGCTTAGCACACACCTCGGCACTTTGTAGAGTTAAATGAACTCAGGTATGGTGATAATGCCCTTGAAAATGCTCCTTTCATTTAAGTTTTCTGGCACTTGTAGATTAAAAGTTAACCTTCTGGAAAGTTTTAAAGGCTGTGTATCTAAAACTACTGCTTTCTTTTCAATATTGGCTGAACTTGCTGGCCCGTGGCCAGAGGACCTGAAAGTTGTTAGACTATGGGTAGCATGATATGACCAGATCTTATTTTCTTAAGAAATATCTGTTATATTAATTTTGATTATGGCCAAAATTGCAAGTGCGGACATTTAACATGTTTTTGCTTACTGAAGATGCAAAAAAACCCATGGCAGTACTGTCAATTAACAGTTTGTTTTTTTTTTTAAATATGTAGCCCTGCCCTGGAACATGTTGCAGAACAAGGAGAGCTTCAAGACAGGACAGCCTGGGGTGTTAGAGCTACAGGTACAGAGCGTTGCCTACAATTTTATTCTGTCAAGTCCAAGACCAGAGCAGTGTCATGTTCTTGCAGCAGTGCTTTGTTCCAACATGAAGGTGGTCACTGCAGAGATCGCTGCATACGTAGGAGGGATGTAAGGAAGGACAAGTGTGAGTTGTGCCTGTATTACGTGATGCCAAATATATGGTGAAGTACAGGAGTACCTAAGGGTTCTTTGCTAGTTGAGGCTCAAATATTATACTTCAGAATCTCTGTTTTCAACTTGCAATTAAAAAAAAAATATTGGGCAACTTTGACAGAAGGCATAGGTATAAAAACTGTATTGTCAAAATTAAGGAATGCTTAACTTACTCCTCTTCCATTTTAGTGCTTTGTCTTTCTGTTTTGCTTTAATCAGTGATACTCTTTCAAGTATAGTTTGTGTTACCCCTTTGAAACAACAGGTTTCTTATAGCTTAAATATTTTTCTTCTTTCCATGAAGTCCTTGTTGAAAACCCTTGGGATAAGGAACTGATTTGCAGGTTCTTATCAGAGCTTCCAAAGCCACTTCACACCTATGCCAACTACTTTGAATGGACATCTACTCTTCCATCCATCATACCGAAGGCTGAACTGCCACTGGGTAAGAGCTACTTCAACTTCAAAGCATTTCTGAAGTTTGTCTGGGAACCTCTGAAGTATTTTTTTAATTCAGTTTACTTGCATATGTATCTAGATAGCTTCCAGATTATCTAAACCTCGGATTTGAAATTAGACCTGTTTTTCTGTTTGTCTTTTGTAGCATAAGCATTTTTGATGAGGTATTCTGAGTAGGGAATTTCCCTAGTGATCTGTGACACAACTCTCAAACTTTGTATAGAGCAGCAGTCCTGTGTCAACAAAATCTGTATGATAGTAATTGCAACATACTTGTATGACTTAAACATTAGTGTTTGCTTTTTAAGGAATGCACTTTGGAATTTGACTACTTCCAGGGTGTCAGACTAAAATAGAAACACTGGGTTTGGTTTTGGTTTTGTTTTTTTATGTGGCACTACGCAGCACTCTTGTCTCAGGAGTGATGGAAAGGCTGGCTAGAAGAGGAGACTTGTAGAGAAAGACTAGCACTGGGGTTAAAGCAGTAACTTATGCAGGCTGGTGCTTTTTCTTTTTTCTATTTAATTTTTCTAAGTAGTGATGTCTCTGCTGAGGTTTGCAAGCAGGACTTAATGTTGTTCATCTCTTAAAGGTTCCAATTCATTCCATGTGGACTGCTTGGTTGGAGAGGGAGCTTTTGCTCAAGTCTATCAGGCTTCCATTCTGGATGCAAGTAATCCTAGAAACAATCAGAAAGTAATATTTAAGGTAAGTAGTGTTGTTTCAGAATAGCTCTGCCAGAAAATTAATGCCATCTTATAGTAATGACACCTACTCTAAGTGGATTCTGATAAGTTTTCTTATTTATAAATATGAAGTAAAGCATCTTGGTCTATCCTTAAAGCCTTGTTCAGATTGAGTGCTGTAATATCGATTTATTCTACATGGGAAGTTAGTTATCCTCTTGACTCAACTTGCCTCTTCATCTTTTCATCATAAAATAGTCACAGGTACCCTAAGGAAGACTTACAGCCAGACTGTCTTTCTCAGCTGAACAAAGGCAGCTACTTGTGCAGTTGCTCTTAGTCGACAGCAAATGAAAAGGGCCCCAGAGATGCTCAGAGGGCTGGAGCACCTCTGCTGTGAGGACAGGCTGAGAGAGCTGGGGGTGTTCAGCCTGGAGAAGAGAAGGCTCCAGGGAGACCTTATAGCACCTTCCGATATCTGAAGGGGCTACAGGAGAGCTGGGGAGGGACTCTTTGTCAGGGAGTGCAGTGACAGGACAAGGGGTAATGGTTTTAAACTGGAAGAGGGGAGATTTAGATTAGATCTCAGGAAGAAATTCTCTGCTGTGAGGGTGGTGAGGCACTGGAAGAGGTTGCCCAGAGAAGCTGTGGCTGCCCCATCCCTGGAGGGGTTCAAGGCCAGGCTGGATGGGGCTTGGAGCAACCTGGTCTGGTGGGAGGTGTCCCTGCCCAGGGCAGGGGGTTGGAACTCCATGATCTTTAAGGTCCCTTCCAACCCAAACCATTCTATGTGGATTGATGATAAAATTGCTGTTGCTACTAGATCACACTGAAAGGGCCTCTCTTTGTTTCAGATACATGCTCACTGGCTTTCCACAAGCATTTTTGCACTTTTGGTAGGCAGCCTGTTTGGTGGCAGCTGGCTATTTACGTAGACTTTGCTGGGTGATACCTCTCTGGTACAGTTTTATTAATAAACAGGCTTGTCTTGATAGTGATTGTAGCTTGAGCAGCTCCCCCTCTGCTCTGCCTTGTCTTCTTCCACGCTGCTTCAGTGCAGGAATGAGGAACAGATGATAGCATGTGTTTACGTCGGAGCCACTGCCAAGAGTAAAGTCTGTGCAACTGCGGGGTCAGTTTAGTCCAGGAGGGTTACAGGAGGTCATGCAGCCCTCCATCTGCTGCTGGCTGAGGCTGCACGTGGACAGTGACTGCAGCACTGAAACGGGGCTGTGTCATCGAGCTGACACACGCCCCAGCCCCTCAGCCTCTCCACAGCAGATCTAGCTTGGAACCTTTTTGTGGATCTCCTCTGGGACATTATCTTTCAGAAGAAAAATAATTTCCTGTCAACACCTTAACTGAGAGCTTCCTGGTATGTAAAGGTGGCTTTAGGGTTTTTTGAGCATCAGATACTCAACATAGCGGGGGAGATAGTAGGGGAAGGAATCAGAAGTTTTCCTATTTTGACTTCAAAGGCATTTTCTCTTAAACAAAATGTCTGTTGCCAGCAGAAACATCAATGTTGCAGAAAGACTGACATTTCAAATAACACAAAAGACTCTATAAGCCAGAGTGGAATTGTGGCATGTAACTGAAGTCTTGATTCAAGAGGGTTAATCATTGACTCTATCGACCTGAGGTTAATTACTGTAGGTATAAGTATTTAATTTGGTAAAGGGGAAAAAATGCCTAGTCAGCCATTAAAAATTACTGTAGGTATAAGTATTTAATTTGGTCAAGGGAAAAAATGCCTAGTCAGCCATTTAAAAAAAAAAACCAATAAAAAAATCCCAACCTGAGAAGAACCTCTGCTTTAATGCTAGTAGATTTTCCTAGTAAATCAATTTTTTGGTTACAGGTCCAGAAGCCTGCCAACCCCTGGGAGTTCTATATAGCGACGCAACTGGTAGAAAGGCTCAATCCAAGTATACACCATCTCTACATCCACTTCTATTCTGCTCATTTCTTCCAAAATGGAAGCATTTTTGTTGGTGAGCTCTACAACTATGGAACATTGCTGGTAAGTGTGATCAGCTTGTGCTCTGGAACATCTACATTCTTTTTGGAGTTATGTTACAATATTCAGATGTCTCCTCTGCTATCCACTTTATGGACCTTCATTCTGAACATATAATGTGTTTATCAACACGGATCTGTAATCTGTATCAAATTGTTTCTGTGTAGCTGATGGTTCTTCCCTATCTTTTTGTTTACAGAATGCCATAAATATTTACAAAAAGCTTCCTGAGAAGGTGATGCCTCAAGCACTTGTAATCTACTTTGCTGTAAAAATTCTTTATATGGTGGAAGAGCTCCACAGCTGTAAAATCATTCATGGTGACATTAAGCCTGACAATTTCCTACTTGGAGAAAGGCAAGTATTTCCCTTTGCTACCTGAGATGCCAGCATGTTATGATATCATATATCTTTGACGCTTACATGATCACTTCATGTCCTTACAACTGAAGGTTTCTGGACAATGATACATGTGACATAGATGGTCTCTCTCATGGCTTGACGCTCATTGACTTGGGACAGAGTATAGATATGAAACTATTTCCTGAAGGAACTGCATTTACTGCAAAGTGTGAAACATCTGGATTCCAGTGTATTGAAATGCTGACGCAGAAACCATGGAACTACCAGGTATGAGGTTGCACAGCCAGCCTGAATGGAGCTTACTGCATGCATCTGTTGTGAATAAATGGAGTAGAGGAATGTCAGGCTTTTGCACTAGAGTTGTAGCTTCAGCTTGTTGCTTTAAAAGCACAATCCTGAACCCTTTTCTTACAGAGCTTGCCCTGTTAGCTCCACGCAGTGTTTTTCAGCTAATTTTTAGTGGTCTTAACACATTTTTAATATGAAACTTGTTTATACTTTGTTTAGACTGACTACTTTGGCATTGCAGCAACGGTCTACTGCATGCTCTTTGGTACGTACATGCAAGTGAAGAATGAAAACGGTGTCTGGAAGCCTGAGAGAAACTTCAGAAGGTTGGTGTCAAGTCTTTTCAAAACCTTTCCTTGTCCTAGAAAGATGTGCCGTTAGTAGTAGGTTTCTCTGAGGTCAGTTTCTGGCATGGCTTTCAGTGCAACAATTAACGAGGAAAAATCCCTCTGGTTCGTTAAGCAGCGTGCCACAGCAGAAACTGAGTTACGTTACAGAGATGTCTGCAGTTGCTCCAGCCTGTAACTGGGAAGGGAGTGGGGTAAATACAGGAAACAGTATTTTTTAACAGCTTAAATTTAGAAATTTTTTGATGCATTTTTGTTCCTTTGCAGGCTTGCCAATGCTGACCTGTGGAAGGAGTTCTTTGAGAGCATGCTGAACATCCCCAACTGCCACAGCCTGCCTTCCCTAGGAGTTCTGCGCAAAAGACTGAAAGACTTATTTTGCAAGTCATATGCAAAGGAAATAAAGTTCCTTCGGAACAGACTTGTTGTGTTACTCATAGAACACAAACGGTCACGAAAATAAGCATTTCGTTTGCATCGTTACTGAGGACTGGCGTTTTATTGATGTGAAATCTTTTTGTATGAACGTGTTATAAAAATAAATTTTATTAGGGTTGACTTCAGGAATGATAACTTGCATCTTTCTACGCTTTTGTGGAAAAAAAAAAAAAAGCACTACCACTACTTGTTAATTTAACTTGTCCATTTTGGGAGGCGTGGGCATGCTGGAGACTGTAGACAGTTGTCAGAATACTGTGGATTTCTAAGGGGGGAAAAAAAGCTCGTGCAAAGTGTTGTACAGATGAGGTAATTGCTTTCAACCTCCCCTGGGATTTTGAAAAAGGCCATGGAATCGTTCATGTTGAAGAGGCCTTGGGAAGTCAACTGCTCTGCTCTGAAGGCAAGGTCAATGCTGAGTTCAGACCAACTGTGTTGGCAGCCCTTAGCTCTCCTGTGGAGGCCAGGAAGCGATGGGTGATAAATGCAGCCCGGCCACGTGAAGGGCAGGCTGGTCTTGGAAATGTAAAGTGTTCGTGATGTCTTGAGGATGAAGAAGAATGGTGAGGCCTTTGGGGATGAGCGAGTTGTTGGAAATGGGAATATAATTCCAGACTGAGACCGTACCATTGTGGAAGACTTTTGCATCTCTTCTAAGAGAAGTGAAGACAACAACTGGAAGTGAAATAGCACATATGGAACTTGGGCTATGAGAGCTTCAACTCGTGTAGCTTTCTGCACTTGATCAGGGGAAAACCCATGGTTGGTAGGTGGAAGGACAGGTTTTCTGTAGGTCTCTCTTCTCCCAGAAGAGCCACTGCAGATTATGAATGAACAGGAGGAAATGCTGTTTTGAGTCTGTCATGAGACCGAGGGTGGATGGGCAACAGCACCCCGAGTGCCAGTATTGCAGTTCTTTGAGGTTTGGGGCTCCTACATTCACAGGCTTCCTGCTCTACCCTTTCTCTCAGGAGCTTCTGGATTGAAAGAAACCGAGGTTTGCAGGTCAGATTTAGATTGCATAGGACTGAAATCACACTTACCACTTTTGTTAAATTTGCTTCTGACCAGCCATAAAGCAATTACTAGAGACGGGGAAAACCAAGAAGCAAATGTTTCTCCTTACAGGAATTGAAAGGGTTATTTTCTGTTTGTTATGAGGTTTTGTTTTCCTGTACTGTGGCAGAATACTGTGAAAATACTCTGCAGAAAATACCAGTAAAACATTCCTTTAAAAGTGCCCCCTATTCCTTTATATCTATTTTTTTCATTTCTTAACTAGAGTGGCTGTACATCAACACCGCTGCTGCCTACTCACTTGAGTCTGAATGAGGTTGGCTTGACCTTAGAGCCATGTTGTCAAATGTTTGATGTCAAAATAACTTGAATTACTTGAATTACCAAACTCCAAAGAGATCTAGCAGGCACCTTGAACACACTAGCTCCATGGTGGCATCTGCTTGGGGCTGTCTTCCTTGGCTTGGGTGAGAATGGGCGTATCTTCTTTGGAGCAGCATCTCTGCATTGACTCACACCAAACAGATGTCTCGGGTGGAGGTTTCCTCTGCGTGCCTTGCTTCGAAGCAAAACTTGTTTCCCGTCTTCATTTTTGCAGCCAGACATTGAAAAGGGAAACATTTTCAATGGTGCTGGGAAGAGCTGGACATGGCCGATAGGATGATGGAATGCACGTCTCGAGCTCCCCTTGCCACAGAGCACCTTTTCTTTTTGTTTCTCCGCATCCTTCAGCATTGCTAAGCTGAGACTTGCTGCTAAAACTGGTCTGTATAACCTTTCTCCGGAACCACAACTGCGATTGAGGTTCAACAAGGCCAAGTGCCAGGTCCTGCCCTTGGGTCACACCAACCCCCTGCAGCGCTCCAGGCTGGGGGCAGAGTGGCTGGAGCTGCCTGGCAGAAAAGGACCTGGGGGTGTTGGTGGCCTGTGGGCTGAACAGGAGCCAGCAGTGTGCCCAGGTGGCCAAGAAGGCCACCAGCATCCTGGCCTATGTCAGGAGGAGTGTGGCCAGGAGGAGTAGGGCAGTGATCATCCTCCTGTACTGGGCACTGTGAGGCCTCACCTCGAGTGCTGTGTCCAGTTTTGGGCCCCCTACCACAAAAAAGACATCGAGGGGCTGGAGCGGGTCCAGAGAAGGGCAACGGAGCTGGTGAGGGGTCTGGAGCACAAGTCTTATGAGGAGAGGCTGAGGGAGCTGGGAGTGTTCAGCCTGGAGAAGAGGAGGCTGAGGGGAGACCTTATTGCTCTCTCCAACTCCCTGAAAGGAGGGTGTAGAGAGGTGGGGGTCGGTCTCTTTTCGTTGGACAAGATGATCTCTGAGGTCCCTTCCAACCTAGAAGATTCTGTGATTCTGTGAGATATCGAGGTGCTGGAGCGGGTGCAGAGGAGGGCAATGAAACTAGTGAAGGGCCTGGAAGACAAATCATATGAAGAGCAATTGAGGGAGCTGGGACTGTTTAGTTTGAGGAAGAGGAGGCTGAGGGGAAACCTCATCACTCTCTACAACTACTTGAAAGGACACTGTAGAGAGGTTGGGGCTGGTCTCTTCTCACAGGTAACTAACGACAGAACGAGAGGGAATGGCTTCAAGCTCCAACAGGGTAGGTTTAGATTGGACATTAGGAAGGAATTTTTCACAGAAAGAGTGGTCGGGCATTGGAACAGGCTGCCCAGGGAGGTGGTGGAGTCACCATCCCTGGATGTGTTTAAGGGACGTTTAGATGGGGTACTGAGGGACATGGTGTAGGGGAGGACTATGTAGAGTAGGGGAGATGGTTGGACTCGATGATCCCAAGGGTCTCTTCATTCTATGATTCTATTCTGTACCCTGGTGTCCTGGTTTAATCTTGTGAAGAGGATAAAAAAAAGGGGTATTTTATCAGTAGGGCGGAGGCTATTTTAAGGCTTTTGGATAGATGAGAGCTTTCAGACCCTCATACCCTAAGAAATGGGGGTTCAACTTTCCTCGTTTCCTCTCGACACTGATGCCCCTCCAGCTCTGTCTGAGGGGTGCTGTGGTCCCCACACAACCCCGGGAAAGGCCAGGCCGTTGACTCTATTTGCTCGTCCATCCACAGGAGGGAGACAAAACAACAGACTTTCATCATCTCATCTTTCATTCAGTGTTTTTCTCCACTTCAATTGTTCAGCTTGAAAACCAGCCAGCGGTCGGGCAGGTGAGCTGAGCCCGGGGCAGCCAACACGGCTCTGGATGCTGAGGAGGGACTGGTTTCTGCATGGATTGCTCCTGGGGCTGGGGGGACCACAGAGGGGAAGGTGGCCATGTGAGGTTGCAGGAATCACCATCTGCTCTGCGTGCAGAGGGACTGGAAACACTCGTCCTCTTCTTTTCATAAATCCCATTGCACTATAGAAAAGCCTGTATCAGCAGGAAGGGGGGCAAACTTACCCCCAGCAAATGTGTCATTTGGGGGTAATCTGTTGGGTTTGCTGGTCACCTGCTCCTCCCAGGTCCCGCACCGAGCTCCTCTTCTGGGATTCCCATGTGGTGGCAAAATCCCTGCTGCCCTGGTAGCTCTTCTCCCTGCCGCCCACAGCAAACCTGCCCCACACCGTGGGATGGGGTGATGCTGCCCGGGCTCCACAGCCACCTGCCCACCCTCCTGGGGCTGGGGGAGACCCGGCAGCATCGCTCCTTCCCCGCTTGGGAAAACCTTTTCCATGTCACACCACAAGGCAGGTCGTTTCCTTCCAGCGGCAGGGAGCACCTCCCTGCAGCTGGCACTCTGCCCGCTTTTATGGGCAATAACTCTCAGATTACCCTTTAATGCAGCCTGCTTTGCCTCTCGGTAGACTTTCTGTGGCACGTGGAAAAGCTTGATGTGAAGCAGCTGGTCCACAAGTCAGCTGCGGCAAGTTGCACCGTGAGGGAGATCAGCTGGAGAAACCTCCTTGTCGCTGGTGGAAATACAAACATTCAGCACTGGGGTTGCCTTTCTTTTTTTTCCCCTTCCTCCTTTATTTCATTTTCTTACAAGCCAGCTGTTCTCTGTCTCGGCAAAAATCTCTGCCAGGCTGAAGTTTTTACGTGTATAGCAAATGTATACATATTCAATTCCTCATCTCACACTTTTCCGAGTGTGAGTTTCTCATAACACACTTTTTGGACTGGCATATGTCACTGCGTTATGAACGTGATGGACTTTTTACCTGCTTGTTTGCCCCAAATTAATGCTAATTTCTGCCTGCCCCACCTCAGGGTGGTGACTTTTTTTTTTTTTCTTTTTTTT